GGGGGGGAGGGAGGGGGGTGGCTGGCAACAAAAGGCAATCTGTTGAGAAAGCTGGCAAAAAAAATCAAGCAACCATCCCTTAGTGGTGATGAGCAAGCTTGCAACAGGGTAGAGACACCATTGACTTGGTAAAACCTAGATTCTTTGACCACAAATGAGCAACAACAATTCTATTTGGTTTTCAGAACTGAAAAGCATGAGAACTGCAACTCAAGGAGCTCATAGATGAGCAAACAGAACATTCTAAACCCTAAAGTCAATGTAAGGCCAATGCACACCTTCATGGTATTGTTGAATTAGCAACCTTGATCTGATTTTCAGTTGAGGTAAATTAGATTTAGCTTCATTAAAACTGGCTATTATTTTATGAGTCAACTTTAAATTTTATTGGGTATGGACTAGATTTTGTTCAGTGAAATATTAAATCCACGTATCAATATCTTAAAGTTCCAATGCTCTTTTCATTCATAAACTCAGAATAGTTATAAGTTAGTTTAGGAGTTAAATTCTTAGTTTTCAATAAGGAACCAAATCCTTGCAAAACGCTAAGAACAATTCAAAACTCTAGATGCAGATGTTTGCAATCACTTTTAAATATAAAAGAGATCAATTTTACATAAGTTTCAGAAACTTCTAGCTTTATTTTGGATTGTCTGACAAGTGTGTCACTCAGTTTATTTTGCAAGCAATCAAGTTTCAGATAAATTTGTTACTTCATGAAGCCCTCTACAGTTTTCCTTAAAAAGCCCAGTCATCAAATCTCATCAATTAGCCTAATATACAGAAGAAAAACCCCAACGATACTGTTTACAATACAGCACCCATAATGGCCATAAACCTTGAACTTTATCCTGCAATTGATACCAAAGCTTTTACCTCTTGTAGAAGGAAAACCTGATTAAAACCTGATTCCAGTAACAAGAACAGGTGATTCCACCAACGTATCACATAAAGGTTACTAACATATCCTCATAGCTGCCTCTATAATGCATCCTAATGATGCTGTTTATGACAGCCTCCACCATGCTGCTGTCCTGCTAATTTCTTATGTGGTCCTTCCATGTGTTTCCACCCCACTAATTCATATTCAATGAAAATGACAAAATTGAAGTAGAAAGTGCATATGGAGACTTTCTTGCACAGTACCAAACAAAACATATGATTGAACCAAATTAGTCTCTCTTTTTTACCCCAAGGTCAGAAAATAATAAGAATTCATATGCGGCAGAAAAGAATGGAAATAATAGTAAATATATACCCTAATTTAATGCACATATATATATAAGGGAATAGGATCTAATGATTTGATATGTTTTGGACTATCCAAATCATTGATATTCCTGTAATGTGCAAGTAATATTGTGGATATAGGGTGTGGTAGACCAAAAAACGAAAAGCATTGATTGAAGTGGTAAAAAATAATTTAGAACCACTGTAGCTCACAATGAATTGGTCCCAAATACAATTGATGGAGAAAAATGATCCATGTCACTGCTCTCATCTATTTTGATCCTGAGATTTAGTTTGAAAAAATGTTATTTTCCTAACAAACCCTCCTAATAGACTCTCCTACATTCTCGATGGGACATATGACAAATATATTGAAAATCACAAAATGTTAGTTCATCTGACTGAAGGAAAGTCTGCTATGAGAGTTTGTTATGAAAAACTGACAATAAGTTTAAATTTCAGAAAC